TTTTTTTTTTGTTTACATTGTTAGGATGAATAAAATTCTCGTTAGTGGAAAATTTATCTTTCTATATTAACAAAAAAAAAAAAAAATATAAAACCGTGTTGTAGTAATGTTAAGAGACACACAAAACATATTTATTTTAAATTTGTATTTGTATGTGTAAAAGTGTATGTATATGCATGAAGTAATAAGAAAAAAACTAAAATGGTTCTACAAGTTTTTTTTTGAACAGAAATTTTTATTCATTGGTAATTTTTTTTTTGTTGATTTTTTACTAACTAGCTTTATTAAATTATTTCCCTATGTATACCCAAAATATTCCCATAACATAAATTCATAATACCTACATAAATGTACAGAAATAAAAAAAAAAATTTAAAGAATAAAAGTGGATTCATTCGAATTTTAAGAAGCACTACCAAAAAAAATTTTTGTAAAAATAGGAGTAATAAAAATAATATTGAAAGTGCTTGAGAAATTCGGATTACGTTTATATTTTAAAAGGCAATTTAGGTGAAAAAACAATTATTATTAATTGCGAAGTAAAAGTGTTCTACGAATGCCGTTTAAACAAAAACAAGAATCCTTATATGTTATAGTTCATATAAAAGAATCAAATAAAGTTCACCTATTTTATGGAACAATGAACCTCTCAAACAGATAACAAAGTCAAAATTTATTTTAATAATAATAATTAAGCGCACTGAATTAGTTTTTAGAAAAAATCAACTCTTCAAATTTGAACTCTGTAATCTATTTTATAAGTTTAATCTATATGATATTGTGGTGAATTTGTAAAAAAAACACAACCAATTTCGTATTTAATTTCAAATTGAAACGCGTGTACTACCTCATCTACTTAATCCACCTCATAGTAAACGGTTTGAGGTCTAAACAAATTGTGTCTAAGAAAAAAAGGGAAATTTTCGTTGATTTTTTTCTATCTAAGTTGTGTAAGTAATTAGAAAAACTAATTACTTACACAACTCATTTATAGTACAGAATACAATAATCAACTACATGCAGTGAAATTTTCAAGCACCGTGTACAATTTTAAACATTTGTCCATGTTTTTGTACAAAAATTTTATAAATAATTTACATACACTTATATGTAATTGGTATAACTATATTTTTACCACATTTTATGGTCGTATACTTAGATTGTATACCTAACAATTATGAAAATTCGAAGTAGAATAACAAAAATTTTTGTTTACATTTTTTCCTCTATGTATATTTTACTGTTATAATAGTTCCTTCCAGATCATATAGATAATTCGAATAATTTTTTTGCTCATCTCTTGTTTTACTTTTACTTGCATTGTACTATTGGTAAGTATTTTTTGGTATGGTTTTCTCAAAATATGTCCTTGTTATAAATTAGAAGGCTGAAATAAGGATTAGGAATTTTTTTTCTTATTATTTGGTTGCTGCCATTGAATTGTAAAATTATTTTTGAAATATTTAGAATTTTTATACCTTAATTATAGTCTTACCTATAATTTTTAAGAAAAATTTAGTCAGAAGGACAACTTTGACTATACTACAATAAAATTTTATTGTAATAAAATTAAAATTAAATAAACAAAATTAAATTTTTTTTTTTTTTATTTAAATTATTAAATTATTATTATAAATTTTTAATAATTAGAATATTTAAGAATATTTCGATATTATAATAATTATTATGAGCGCAATATAACAGTTTTTTAGAATACGTCTGGAAAACGATATTAAAAATGTTTTACATAAGCAATTTAAAATATTTATGAAACATTTTTGTTTTCACTGTAAAAAAAAACATAACATAACATTCAATATTTTACATGCAATAAATTTTACAATATTCAATTCTTGAGAATGAGGAAGCTTATATTTAAAAATAAAATATATAATTTTCTCATCATAATAATGAAATAAAGAGAACTTAGGAATTATTGTGGTAATTATTCATCAGTGATCAATCATTACTTAACTTAACAACAATACTAACAAAATAGTGAACCTTGAAAAAGACAGTGACAAAAGTATGAGAATAAATAATAATATAAGAGTAAGTAAATAAATTGCAATGTAATTAATAACAGTAACATGAATAATTAAAATAACATTTTATATGTTAAATTTATGTCATAATAATTAATATGAAAAGGGATTTTAAAATTTGAGAGAGAAGTAAAAGTACCAAATGTATGATATAAAGAGTGTATTAAAAACCTTAATTAAAAATTTTAAATATAATATTGTTGCCGACAAAGAATATTTTTTTAATGGTGGTATTAGACATTTAATAATTCTAGTGGCATGAGACATAATTATTTTGCAATATAACAAGCTTATGTTTTTTTTTTTATATTTATTCGACATATTATTATTAAACTAACTATTATAGACTTAATTTATCATAATATAAAATATGTAAATTTGTATTATCATATTTATTACCATTTATTACATGCGTACATACATATTATGTACATATATACATTTTAAATGCACTATAAAATAAAATTTCTTAATCATTTTATGCATATTTTTTTTCTATCCTCCACATTCTCGTTTCCCTTCTTTTTTTTTTTTTTTAATATTATTTATTTTATTTAATATTATGGCATTGTAGCATCACTCTAAATTTGAATTCCAATTAACTATAAAATATTATGCATATTATACAATAATATTTTAGTAGAATCATGAGAAGCCACCAACACCGAATTTTTTACATACTTAATACTAATAAAATATTCTTGTATATTTTCATGTATAATAAAAAATATTCGTAAATCATTACCGCCTACATTAGATATTTATAATATATTCTCTTTTTTCTTTTACTATATTAATTTAATCCTTTATTTTGTATTCTTTTATACAAAATAAGAAAAAAATAAATAAAATAAATAAAATAAATATAATAAAAATCAAAATCCTTTCCACCTCCTATGCTTAGTTTATGCAAATATAAAATTTTATGAAAAAAAAATTGTATACAAAGAACAGTCCAATTAAATTAAGGAAAAAAAATGTTTAAGAAAAGATTCATTATTGTGTGTGTCATATGTGCTTGTGCTTGCATATACATAAATATATTGAAATATATACATACGTACTTAAATATACAGAATATAAAATAGTTTGGCTGATATTTCCGATGTCGCCAAAGTTAAATAATTTGATTTCTTTTGCTTAAGTGCTTGTCTTTATTGAAATCACTAAGAGAATAAAAATGATGATGAATTCCTTTTTAGCCTTATATAAGAAACGATATATTTATATATAACCTACATTCTGTTGTTACATATATTTTAAATGATTAACTTGGCGTTCATATGCTTATAAGTGTAGGTTTGTAGATGTGTTCAACATCATATCATATTATAGATAGATGATCTCTTATGTCGCCTTTACTATATTTCTATACATCTACATTTTATTTGATTTGACAATAAAATAAAGAATAACAATAAGAAATAAAGAATAAGTGAATTGTTTTGCATGAGTTTAAGCTGTTATGGCTGTAAAATATGCACAAAAATGTCAATGATAGCAAAAGATTTGTATAAGATTTTCTTTGCAATATTCTCAGTTTTTTTTACGTTTAAGTTTATTTCAAAGAAGAAAAAATGATTTAAATAAAGAATAAAAATCTTTCTGCTAATTATATTCAATCTAAGAATTTGTGAAACTCAAATTTATACATGAATTTTTAGTATGTACCACCAATATAATTATAAAATTCTAACTTCTTGGCTAGCTTAAAACTAAAAATGTAATGCAATGGATTTTCCATAATTTTACCTTAGGAATTTTAAGTGTTAATTTCATTCAATTAGAAAAAAAAAATTGAATATAATGTACGCTTTGTACACAATGATCTTTACTCATAGTAAGGAGAAAACTAAAAACTCATTTAATTTCACGATTCCAATACCTATATACTGAAATTAAACTTGAATATCGCAAATTTAATATTTTTTTTAAAAAAATTTCTCTAATTGCCATTGTTAATTACTCATTTTACTAAAACAAACACTGTCATAATACTAATTTCTCATAAGTTATTTGATATTCAAGATGATAATCAAGATATTATGGGTTTTTCATAAACGATCAGGATTATAATGAAATGATCATGAGCAGCACACAGTTAAATTACATGTACAGTGCAGAATTGCTCTTATAGAATTGCTCTTACAGAATTTAGCATGAAAATATATTGATGAGTCTACGTTATTTGCAGTATCTATTGCGTTTTGCAGTCATGGTTTTGCTGCAGTATTGCGTATATGGAAAACTTTAATATTTGATTCAAGAACTAAGAGATATTAAATTTATGTGAGTAAAAGCTAATTGTCCTTTTATTAATATTCGAATTCAAAGAAAAATTTCTGAAGGAAAATGTGCTTTTTACAAGACCCTGAATAAATTTTCACTGAAATTTTTTAATTTTTTTATAAAACATATTTTATTTTTTTTTCATCTTTATTTTTCTGCTTCTTCTATTTTATTATTCGCCTTTTGCATAATTTCATAGAATTTTTCTTTTATTTTATTCTCATATTATTCATTTATATACATAATATTGTGTACATAAATGTGCACATACGCCTATACAAAATTCAAGAATATGATTTTAAATTAAAATATACATAAATACATTTTTTTTCTCTCTTATACAACTATTAAGCAAAATAAAACCCCAAGTACAAATATAAAAAAAAAACAATAAAAGAATAAGGGAAAGAACAGAGAAAAAATGCGACAAGAGTCGCGCTATACATTTTTCCCGTTCATCTTAAAAGAATAAAAACAAAAAAATGTTTTACATATGTAGGATTTCTTGGCAAAATAAAAAATCGTAAAAGAAATCATGCCCGATAAATTTTAAGAATAAAATTTATTCACATATGTTATAATTTAAGTAAAATACAAAGAAAATAAGAAATAACAAAGCAACTATACAATATTTTGCCAGCAAAAATTCATCAATTACCATCTTACATCTCATCCATCCCAATCCAAAGTATGAAGGCATTCTATCCATCTTATTTTGATGTTAAAATAAATTTCATTTTTTTTCATTTTCGGTGTACTTGTCGTATGAAACAACAATCAGACAAGAAAAATCTTATAAGATCCCACTATATACAATTACACTATTAAAAATAGTATTTAATTCCCTTCAAAATAAAAGAGAGAGAATAATATGAAAATTGTAATAGAAGTGGGGAAAGGGAAGATATTCTCTTTTTTTTTCTACAATATTTTATTTTTATTTTTATTAAATATATTATAACATTTATTTCCTTGTAAGGAATTGTTATATTGATCTCACTCTACCAGAAAGTAGAAAAGAAGAGATTATTTCCATATATGCAAATAAAAGGGAATTTTTTTGTTTTTTACAGGAAATACAACTATGCATGTAGGTATACACTCATTTATGTAAAAACAACACAATTTTTTTCTCTTTAGAAAATTTTCATTTTTTAAAAGTGTTGCCGTCCATTGATATCCGAAACAGTGTTATAAAGGTTTAATGTAAATATTTTAATAAAATTTCTGTGGGCTTTTAAATTTTATAAAAAAAAATTAAATTTAAAAATTTTTAATTAGGGAAATATCAGAATAAAAAAGCAAAATATTACAATATTTTTAAGTTTTGTTTTATGTAATTGGGTTAAAGACTATACGCTTAATAAGAATTATGATTGATAGGATGAAGATAACAATTTTACCACATGTTTTTGTTTATAAAAGAACGGATTTTAATCAAAACCATAATGCGATATAAATATAAAATGCAACTTAGAAATTTATGCTGCATTATTATTATTAGAATGCGTAGAAATTAACATTTCAGAAATATTTTCTGCCAATACCATAATTATGAATATTTATTATTATTTATTATTAATATCTATTTTTTACGGTAATTATGAATTAGTAAAATATATTTTTTTAAATAAAATAATTCCGATAATCTGATTTAAAGGTGAATAAAAAAACAACATTAACCAATAAACTGGTGAATTATACACATTGTTTACTAAAACTTTAAAAACGGAACTGGAAATATTAGATATCAATACAGAATTCTATGCAGAATTGACTTCCAAAAAGTGACAGAGAAGCAAGAAGCAGTGAGTTTTTCAAAATTAAATTACTAAATTTCAAAACCAAATTGGCTATTTTCAAAATTAAATTTAATGATAAAACTATTTTACTACCATAAGTTAACGTATGTGTACTTGGCTCGCGTAACTATATGATTTACTAATACATAATTTTATGGGAGTAGAATTACTCCCACAGAAAAAAAACGACAACAATAATAAAGTACTATTTTTTGTTCTGTATGAGATGAGAAGAAAGTGGAATATTCAATGAGTACCACGATCATAAATTTATGTTTTTTTTTTCCTTTTTGCTCTCACAACTCTGTTCTTCTTTTATATAGGCCTCAATTTAAATAGGATAAAAAACCCATAGTAGTTATTATAAATAAAAAAAGGCACTTAAAAGTACATTCGATTACAGATTGAACGCATAAAAGGCCATACAAAGCCTCTAGATATTGTGGTAACGTTGCAAATTGTATGTTTATGGAAATTTATTTTGACTTATTTTTTTTTTCTTCCTGAATATTTTTATCCTTAAGGATAAATAAAATATAAATTGGATGATAATAATAAAGTATAGAATGGCAAAAAATATTCAAAACCAAACAGGAAAGATAAAAATTTTTTTTTGTATTTTAAATTTTTGTTTTGTCTTTTTAATTCTTGACATTTTGACAAGACTTTGACTGATTCCTTTTTAGGTGCACCTTTGACTTTGATTGCAATTCATAGATATTATGTAAGTGTTTTTGTGTATGTTCAACGTTTGATACATCTAACAAGGGTTTCTTCTTCTGTTTCATGTATAAGTAAACAGAAGTCGCTTTGGTATAAAAATTTTTTTAAAATTGTTAAGATTTTTATAATATGTAAATCAAAAATTTGATTAGAAAAAAAAAATCATTCAATGTTTCAGTGATTTTTTGTTTTTGTATACTCTAGTTTCTCATTATTGCAGATTACTTTTGGATGGACGCGAATCTAGTGTTGATAAAAATGTACAGTGAATTAAAAATTTTTTAACAAAAGATTTAAAAGTGAGAATTTTGTTAAATGGTTCGTGTCTATACTATTCCATGGATCAATACAAATTCAATTGCTGAATAAATTAAGCCGCCCAATAGTTTTTGCTACTGTTTACATATACGACAAAATCTAAGATTTAATCTACGACTCATGATAATCATATTTGTAAACATGAAATCGGACGTTGTGTTATAGCAATTTCTCTATTCGCACCAGATTTATTGCCAAATTTTTAGAAAATTTAGAATTTCAGTCTGACGTGCAACCAACGATCAGATTTCGTTGTAGATTTAACCTTAACTTTTGTCGTATATATGAAAAGTATTTTGCATTTTTAACAGCTGTCCTCTATTTTTGTTCTAATTCATAACATAGTACATTGCTCTTAAATCAATTCTTATAACAATTTGCTGATAATGAAGATTTCGGGAAATGTCTGCCTTAATGAAGATTTGACGACAATTTCATTTACATTTGGAATATGATTTTGATTGCTGAATATAGGTCTAATATGCGATACGTTTCATACTTGATTTTGTGTCAAGAATACACCAAAATTTCCGATACGAAAAGCTATTTAACTGCTATTTGATTTCATCCTTTAATCGCATTTCCTCTACTTCATATTGTAAGTATATAAAAACAGAAAAGAAAATCCTAAACTTTTCAATAATAATATTCTAATTAAAAAAAAATAATAAAAATTATTTTCTCTTAAAGGATTAAAAAAAAAATTACGCTCATTTGCTTTGTTTTTTTCTATAATGCCATAACACGATAAACCTTTCTTAATTGAACTGAACTTATTATACGTAGTATACATATAAGATTACTAAGACAACCCAGCCATTTTAAATTAATTGTTTTATGTGGTAATCAAGGTAGCTATACTTAAGATAAAATAAATTATTTGCAATCCTGAAAAATTCATCCTTATTTTTTTGCTTTTAATAATTTTCCTTTTTTCTTTCTTAGTGAAAAAATGAATTTGATTTTACTATGAAGAACGCTAATTATAAATAAAAATTTTTAAAAAGTTTTGCTAATTCTTGAGGTTTTCTACAAGTATAACTATAAATTTTTGAAAAATAATTATAAAAGATGAATTATTCTTCTCTATGGTATTTTTCTTTTGACTTGAAGAAGAGTAGAAATAAAAAATTGATTCAAGACGAGCACATACCAAATTTTATTTTTTCCAGACAACTTAATTTAATTACCTAGGAAATAAAAATTATATATATAGGAAAAAAAAACACTAGTATAGAAAAGGATTAAAAAAAAATTTTCATATTGTTTGAGTTTTCTACAATTTTGTAATGGTTAATTTTTTGCTTGTTTAATAATTTCCTACATTATTTACAGAGTGATTCAGTAATCGGTGATTTAATTTATATGCCATCGCTTTCGACACCGAAAATGAGGAAAATTTTTTGCTTAGAACTCAACGGTTCAAATATCAAACGTCAATGATTTGCGAGATTGGGAGATTTTAACGAATTTTTAATGAAAATTCTACCCGCACAAGTTTTTTGCTCATAACCTCCGTTTCAATAAAGGTAGAAGCTTAATACAAATAGTTTCTAAAAGGGCTAATAAGAGACTTGAAATCAACATATTATTTCATTTTGTTCCTTAAGTATTTTCAAAAATGCAAGTATTCACAACTTAGAACAATTCCAATTTTTCTCATTTTTAATTTTTTTAATTTTCTTTATACAAACAATTTTGTATTGAAATTTTCGGAGGGTTTAAAAAATTTTTATACAAAACTTTTGAAGACCTAAATACTTATGTTAAAGCACGTATTACTGAATCACCCTGTATATACTTTATAAAATATAGGTAAAAATGAACTATATACTTATAAAATTATTACAAATTTAAATAATAATTGAAATCTTCATTAAAATAAAAAATTTTATATCTGATTTCTTGGAATACTTGAGACTCTCTCTATATACTAAATATTTAGATTTACCATAGAAATTTATCTCTATCCCCCATTTACTGATTACGATGATTATTTCAAAAAGAAAAAAAAATGAATTTCTTCAAAAATACTTTGTTGAATTTATGATCAATTAGATTAAAATCTTGTACAGAAAAAAAGCAAACTATGCAAAACATCATCTTTAATAAAATCCTTGCAATATTTAAAGTATTAAAATAAGAAGCATATAAGGAAATTATTTTTATTTCTCATCTAAAACTTATTAAGTAAATTGCAATTCAATAGTTTTTAATCAGGTAATCATTATAGTTATAACAGTAGGATTACTTGTTATCCATCATTAGTTTGAAGGAGGAATTATTGCTCATTTTTGAGCAATATTTGATTGCTCGGTTTTCTTCAATACCAATTTCTAGTTTTTATCATAGTAATTTAAATATTTTATTTTTTTTTTTATAAAAGTACTCGATTATAGGTTCTCTATCAATAATATTAGCAAATAATATCTTAAAATGATCTAAATTGCCAGAAATTGTAGATATAAGGATGTTGTTATTAAGTTAGCAAAAAAAACAAAAATTTAATTTAATGTTTTCCCCGGATAATTATTATAGTTTTCTCTTAGCTATTTTATAAGAAATTCTGAAATAATTGAAATTTTGTCAGTAAATGTATGTGCCTAAATATATTGTACACCGAATCTTAAAGATTTACTATTGTATTGGCCGTTGAATTTATCATGTAAATTGCATTGCATACATGTTATGCAAAATAAATATTCTCTCTGTCTCCATATAGTAGGTTCTCTTATAAGATTTTCCAAAAACTGTGTTAGTCGTTTATGTTCGTATTAATTCTGATATAACAATTTAATTTCTGACATTTCACATGACAGTAATTTTTAATGTGAATTTTTGATCTGTTATAAATTGTTCCCTGTTGAACAAGCTTCACAAATTTTATTTTAAAATTCGTTGGGTGGTGTTATAATTTAAAAATTTCATAAAAACTTACTTTTTATAGCATACTTAACGAATATTAAATGCTTAATAATAAAACCTTTTAAAATGTCGTAACAGTTTCATTCTGCCAGACAAGTAAGTATTAGGGTCTATCTCTCATATTCTTTCCTGTTATAGTAAAATTGATTATCTCTTTATTAACTGATTAGAACATAATAACTATCATGCATGTCAAACCTCTCATATGCACACATGTTTATCTTATCAATAGTGAAAGACGACACAGAAGTATTGCATATATGTGGCAGCAGCTGATGTAGTTTGAGAAGAAAATTTTTGTTTGTTGCATTCATAATTTTTTCTCATCTTTAAAAAAAAAAAAAAGGAAAAGACAAAAAATTTGTATTTTTTTCTTGCTTCTTAAAAATGCATCATCATTCATCTTAATTGAAAAGGAGGTGGTTTTTTGGAGGATGGTTTAGTAAACAAGAAAAAATTTAAGAAAGAAAAACACAAGATGAAAAAAGAGGAAGAAGAATAAAAAAAAACACTTTGTTTATTGTAAATTTTCGTCTTACCGTTTGATTTAAAAAATTTTTTTTTTTCGTTTTTCTTATTCATGATGCAATTATTTTAATGTTTATGTTTCCTTTAGATTTTAAAGATGAAAAAAAAAAGAGAGCATTTAAAAGAATAGAAACTAAAGGTATTGTAAGTAAATTTGTGTGTATCAAAAAGAGCAATATCAGCAGCATTAACGATACTTAAAAAGCACAACAACGATAAGAGAAACATGAGCATAAAAAATTATAATACTATTATTATGAGAATTTACAAAAAAAGAGAAAAAAAAAAACTCAGGAGAAAAACAAACAATGTAGGAGTTTCTCTATGATATAGCTAATTATAATTGTGACGATAGTAGCAATGCTTTTAAAAAATTACTTTAAGAATTTTATGTTCTATCAAAAAAATTTCTAACAGGAAAAATTCTTTCTCTCTCTCTCTTTATTGAATGGAATTGTAAACTCTCTGCTCATTTTAATTTACTCGCAATAGTACAATGGTTATTTGTAACTTGCGAGCTATGTTATTAAGTCGTACACCACAATTTATCTGTAGGTCAGCTCTCTTCAGTAATATACTCGATTATTCTCTAATATATATTTGGAAATCTTATTATATTCTATGACTTATGAATGCCTTTCTCTAGAAAACTTTACAGTAAATGCAATTTAAATGTAAATTATTTAACAGAACATTTTAAGAGAAAATTATATTTTGATATTTTTGTGATTATTATGGAGCACTGAGCAATTAAATACGTTTCAACGGTTCCGACTCTGTAGAGCCGTATTTGAAATTTCAAAAAAAAAACCGTATATAAGAACAAAACTGTTATATGAAAATTATTTTGATCAGCACTGTACAAGTTATATATTCGCTTACGCCCGGAACACCAAAAAATAAAATTTAACTATAACTAAAATTAAATCGAACGTTGCGATCAAATTTCCATACTTTATTACTTAAACCTATTCTAAATCATTTAATCGCAACGTGATTTGACAAAAACAAAATATTTATTTTAAATTAAAATTAAAATTCAACGTTGCAATTAAACTCCTATATGAAATCATTTAATTGCAACGTGATTGAACTTTTACAGACAAAACTAAAGCAAAGTTCCAAATATTCAAATTACAATATTAAAACTTTCCCATGAGAATTATTCTAAACAATTTTTTGCTTACTAAACAGTTATTTCTTATAAATAGAGTAAATTCAATAGCAACTTGGCTTGGTTGGTAATTCAGTAGCTCGTTAGTTATTAAATCGTTTTGCCGTTTAGAAAATAAAGATTTAAAAATAAAGTTAATAAGTTTGGAATTAGAAATTAAAGTGTAATTAATTAATAAATGAAATAAAAAGAACTTTTATAAATCTTAAAATATTTTTTGTGTAAAATAAAAACTTATAGTTTAATTTAATAAGTTTGGAATTGGAAATTAAAGTGTAATTAATTAATAAATGAAATAAAAAGAACTTTTATAAATCTTAAAATATTTTTTTTGTGTAAAGTAAAAACTTATAATTTAATTGGCGCAGTCGGTAGGATACCGACTCCGTCTATAAAAACAAAAAAAAAATCTAAACAAAAAAAAAAAAGAAAACACTAATATTTTTCTTAAGTCAATTTAAATGAACAAAAAACTAGAAAATAAAATAGTGTAATGCTCAAACCATTAAGCAAAATTAAATAATAATAATAAAAAAAAAAATTTTGTGGTGAACTGAGTGATAAAAGTTTAGTTGTGTAAAGGCGGAGAACTTTTTTCAAAAAGTTAATTCGGTAAATAAACGAACAAAAATTATAAGTAAAACACAAATAAAATATCTATTAAAAGATCTTTAATCAAATCAAATTTTACAACTAATTAAATTGATAAAACAAAAATTATAAAAAGAGAAAAAAAAAAAAAACCAAAATATTTTTTTTTTTTTTTTTTAACATTTATGAAGAAAAGTGAAAAAGAAAAATACTTTGATAATCTAAAAAATATACAAAAAAATTTTAACATGTCACTTGCTGCAATTACATTAAAAGACTTGATAGGCGAAGCTCGTTCAGTACCAATTTTTACTGGACAAGACGCCTACAGTCTAAAATCCTTCATCGAAGAAGTCGAAAGTTTAATTGCCTTAGCAGCGGATGCCGATGCAAAAAACTATCTATACAGAATTTTGTACAGCAAGATCCAGGGTCCTGCAGCGGCAGCAATCCGGAGAATTCAGGAAAAAACTTGGGACGAAGTAAAACAACAACTGAAAGCTACCTTCGGAGTACAGAAATCTTATTTGAAATTAAAAGAAGAAGCAGACTGTATAATTTTTAGAAATGTAAGTGATCTTTATGTTAAATTAAATTCCATATTAAATTTGTTAAATTTAAAATATGATTTGGATGACAATAAATCTTCAGAATTTAATCCAATTAATAATGAAAATTCAATATTAGAAAAATTTTTGAATAAATTAAATAGAGTAGACTCAATGTACCTTAGAACTAAAAATGTAACAACATTAGAAGACGCTTATAGAAGCTTATTAGAAACCAATATATCCGACAGCAAGGTTCCAAACACCAACTCTCAGTATAGGAACAATAATCATACAAATTACAGAAATAACCATAACATAAATTCTAGACATAGTAGTAATAATACAAATTCCAGAAATAACTATAGAAACGCAAATAGAACTTTCAACAATAACAATTACAATAACAACATAAGAAACACTTACACAAATAGACCAATGGACAGAAACTACACTACTAACGAAAAGTTTAGGAATTTTAGGCCCAACCAACAATTTGGTGGTACAGGTAATAATCTACCAGGACCATCTTATAACGAAAATCGGTCAGGTCCAGTTCCAATGGATGTAGATTCGGGTTCCACAGAAAATTTTCACTGTGGTCCCCCTATCCGACATTACCCTTAGTAGACTTAACAATAGAAGGCAAAAAGCTGACCTGTCTGATCGACACAGGATCAGTTACTTCAATTATAAACGGCAATATTTTTGATCGATCTAAACAAAACAAATTAGAAAATCCAATTCAATTAAAAACACTCGCAGGAAACCAAGCCATTAAATACGAAATAACTACAAAAGTACCTGACGAGTTCAATGAAAATTCAACTATGTCCTGGAAAGTAATGGATCTTAGCAATAAAAACTTTGACGCTCTCTTAGGCCAAAATATTTTAAAACCAATAGGAGCAAATATTAATCTTTCAAAGGAGCGGTTAGAAATTAACAACCGTAATATTAAATTTAATTCAGCTTGTCCTTTTGAAAACACTTGTCAAATAGAACCTTTACAAATCAACCATAATGAATTATTTGAAAAATTATTAAATAAAAATATGAATAGAGAAGAAACTAAATCATTAAAATATATTTTAAACTCTAATAAGGATCTTTTCTATAAAGAAGGAGATCGATTAACATGTGTCAAAAGTGTAAAACATCAAATAATTACAACTACTTCCCGACCGATTTATAGTAAAATATATCGGTTTCCAAAAATACATGAGGGGGAAGTAAATAAGCAAGTTCAGGAAATGTTAGAGCAAAATATTATTCAACCATCCAGTAGCCCTTATAATAGCCCTATATGGGTAGTACCCAAAAAATTGGACTACTCAGGGAAACAAAAATGGCGCATTGTCATCGACTACCGTAAATTAAATGAAATTACGGTTGATGACTAATTCCCGATACCGAATATAGATTCTATATTTGATAAATTGGGTCGCGCTCAATATTTCACCACTCTGGACCTCGCAAAGGGGTTTCACCAGATATTAGTGGATGAAAAAGATCGTCTAAAGACCGCGTTTTCTACACCGCAGGGTCACTTTGAGTTTGTACGGATGCCATTCGGACTAAAGAATGCTCCGGCAACTTTTCAAAGGATGATCAATTACGTTTTAAAGGACTTTATCGGGCGAATTTGCGTTGTCTATCTAGACGACATCCTTATTTTCTCTACATCACTACAAGAACACCTCTCAGCTATTAATAAAATATTTTCAAAATTAAGAGAGTTCAATCTAAAAATCCAAGTGGATAAGTGCAAATTTTTCTCTAAAGAGACAGAGTATTTAGGACACATATTAACACCAGAGGGAATAAAGCCAAACGAAGATAAAATTAATGTAATTAAACAAATCAAACTGCCTAAGACTCCCAAGCAGATAAAAAGTTTCCTAGGCATTACGGGGTACTATCGCAAGTTCATCAAGGACTATGCGAAAGTAGCTCAGCCTATGACTAAATATTTGAAAAAGGGAAATAAAATCAATGAAAATGATATACAATATAAAGACTCCTTTCAAAAATTAAAAGAATTGATTACAACTTATCCTATACTTCGTTACCCTGATTTTAAAAAGAAATTTGTATTAACGACGGACGCGTCCAACTTTGCGGTTGGAGCAGTCCTATCACAAGAAAACCACCCGGTCTGCTTCGCTAGCAGAACCCTTAATAATCATGAATGCAATTACTCTACTATAGAGAAGGAACTTCTTGCCATAGTATGGGCCACTAAATATTTTCGGCCATACTTATATGGTACAAAATTTTTAATAAGAACAGACCACCAACCCTTAAAGTGGTTGCATTCACTAAAAGAACCAAGCGCCAAACTACAAAGATGGCGAATCAGATTAAACGAATACGACTTCGAAATAGACTATGTAAAAGGAAAAGAAAATCGTGTTGCTGATTTTTTAAGTAGAATGGATTCTACAAATAATGAAATTAATCATATAGATGACCCTAACGAAACACCTTCTAATAATTCAGTTATAACAACAAACCATAGTCGCCATGAAAATCAATTCCCAACATCCGATATAATAATTAATAAATATTTGACGCAGCTTTATTTGACAAAAGAAAAAGAAAGGGAAATAATTATAAAATATAAAAAATTTAGACAAATCTTTATTAGTGAAAATGAAATCAATAATAGCCATTATTTAAATGACATACTTAGACGATTCATTAGAAATGGAATAACTGCTATCTATTCCGAATTAAATGATGAAAAATTTGATATAGTAAAACAGAAACTCACGGAACTCTTTTCTAATAATAATAAAATGAAATTCATAAAATGTACTAAAAAAGCAATAGACATAGAAAATGAAGAAGAGGCCTTAAAATTAATAGAAAAAATTCATAAAGAATCAAACCATCGAGGTATCGTTGAAAATTATACAGAAGTGAAAGATGAGTTTTTCTTCCCTAAACTTAAGGAACTATTTCATAAGTATATAAACAATTGCGACATATGTAATCAATCAAAATATGATCGCAAACCAAATAAATATAGATTCGAAATTTCCGAAACCCCGAGCTCTCCTAATGAAATAATACACGTCGATTTATTTTTCTGTTATAAGGAAATATTTCTTACAATAATTGACAAATTCTCAAAGCATTTAATGGTCCAACGTCTTAATGACCGAAATGCAACTACTATTATACAAGCACTTCGCAACAGGTTTGCACTATTCGGTAGGCCAGATAAAATCGTTGTCGACAATGAGTTCGATAGTCTTAATATCAAAAACTTCTTTAGAACAGAAAATATAAACGCTCACTTTACGTCACCCAGAAGCCATACCGGAAATTCTACAATCGAACGAGCTCACGGAACTTTAAGCGAACACCTTCGTATCTTAGATACACAAAAATCACATTTAACACCGTATGAAAAAATATTATTCGCAGTCGAAAAATATAATAATTCCATTCACTCTGTAACTAAAGTTAAGCCTATAAACTTTGTAAATAACGAAATAACCGATATTGAAAAAATTAGAAAATTAATTGATGAAAATAAACTTAAAACGATTGAAAAACTAAACAAAGATAGGATAGACCCTGACTATAAAGAAGGAGATAAAGTTCTTGTAAAAAATCCCGAAGCTCTAAGATATAAACATAAAAAGAAATATACGTATATTAAATCTAAATTAATTAACGGTAAATTAAAAGATAACCGGAATAGAAATATTCACCCAAGTAGATTAAAAAGAAATTTTAAATTTTCCTCAGGTAACCCAGAAACAAACTCCACTCAACCACTACCACAACAAACTTAAATTAGCACTACTAATTCTACTCCTCACTTCAAATACTTGTTCTGCAAATATTGACGTTCAGGTATTGGAAAATCAAGGTGGATTCCAACTAATCAAACGGGAAGAAATTCCTATAATTCAAAACTATTCTAAAATTCTTCACTTTATAAATATTAGCGAACTAGAAAATACTTTAGCACAAATTGAAAATAATATTTACAACACTTTTAACCAAGACAATACCACATTAAAACAATTACAAATTCAAATCGAAAAAACTCGACATAACATTAAAACATTACTACCACACAGACAAAAACGAGGACTCATTAATTTAGGTGGCAAAATTTTAAAATGGTTATTTGGAAACTTAGACGATGATGACAAAACTGAAATTGTAGAAAACATAAAACTTATTGAACAGGGAAATTACAACTCCATTCAGACCATAAATAAACAGATTAAAATAAACGACCAATTTCAGAAAAACCTAAATATTCTACAGAAACGAATTAACGAAAACCAAGAAATTTTAAATATTACACTGAGAGAACAAAACAACACCTTTAGCAAAAGCATAAAAAGTTTACAGTTTCTTTCTAGTTACACAAATATTAACTTACTAAATTCAGAAATAGACAAAGTCCAACAAAACATTCTTTTCGCTAAACATGGTATCATGACTCACTCCATTTTATCCAATGAAGAAATTGATGAATTTGAAATCGATGTTTTTAAATATAAAGAAATAAAAAGTTCACTTATTAGTCTAGATAATAATATTATTTTTGCCATTTTGATTCCTAACGTTGCAAGGGAACTTGCAGTTGGATATAAAATTATTCCAGTACCTAACAAAAATTTCGAGGAAATAAACATTGAATCTACTAATATATTGAAATTTAAAAATGAAATTTACTTTAATAATAAACAGAATTGTGAAAATAAACTAAAAGTAATAAATGGTTGTATAAAAAATTTAATGAATAATAATTTTAAGAATTGTACAAAAAGAAAAAATATTAATTTTGAGATTGTGGAAGTTTCATCTAATATTATCTTAGTAAAAAATGCAAATAATGTAATGTTAGAAAATACTTGTAATAACATACAATACAAACTAATTAAAACTAACTTAATTACATATTATAATTGCACTATAAAAATAGATGACGTAATATTCAAAAACATAGAGAGAAAAATTAACAACCACATAATAATACCAAACTATTTAGAACCTTATAATGTTAGTTATATACCAAATTTAGAAAATATTAATTTGAAGCAAATTGAAAATTACAATGAAATAGAATTTGTAAAATTTGAAATTAAAAACCATTATATTTTAATACTGTCAAATATCTCTATTATATTGCTTTTAATAATTTTTATTACAAAATACTATATGAAAAAATTTTATAAATGTAAAAAACGGCCAAACGATACAAATGAAAATAATAGTAAAGGAAATATAATCTCTGGAGCTCAGGAGAGCTTCCAGCTTAACGAGGGGGGAGTTATATATTCGCTTACGCCCGGAACACCAAAAAATAAAATTTAACTATAACTAAAATTAAATCGAACGTTGCGATCAAATTTCCATACTTTATTACTTAAACCTATTCTAAATCATTTAATCGCAACGTGATTTGACAAAAACAAAATATTTATTTTAAATTAAAATTAAAATTCAACGTTGCAATTAAACTCCTATATGAAATCATTTAATTGCAACGTGATTGAACTTTTACAGACAAAACTAAAGCAAAGTTCCAAATATTCAAATTACAATATTAAAACTTTCCCATGAGAATTATTCTAAACAATTTTTTGCTTACTAAACAGTTATTTCTTATAAATAGAGTAAATTCAATAGCAACTTGGCTTGGTTGGTAATTCAGTAGCTCGTTAGTTATTAAATCGTTTTGCCGTTTAGAAAATAAAGATTTAAAAATAAAGTTAATAAGTTTGGAATTAGAAATTAAAGTGTAATTAATTAATAAATGAAATAAAAAGAACTTTTATAAATCTTAAAATATTTTTTGTGTAAAATAAAAACTTATAGTTTAATTTAATAAGTTTGGAATTGGAAATTAAAGTGTAATTAATTAATAAATGAAATAAAAAGAACTTTTATAAATCTTAAAATATTTTTTTTGTGTAAAGTAAAAACTTATAATTTAATTTACACTGTTATATACGAGTATATATGTTTGCAAAATGAGAAGAACCTTCTTCATTTCAATTTCTTCTTATTTTTGTTTTATTTTTTTAAGAATCTTAAGACTTAAAGAAAAACCTAAATTACATTTGATGCGGGTTGCATCTCATAATTTGAATTTTTGATGGATTTCTTATTATTTTTGTTTTTTTAATTTTTCCTCTTCATATTACTTTTTCTTTTCGCTTCATCAGAGATTGCGTTGTTTTCGTTTACGCGTTTAATATTTTCTTTGTTTTTATTTTTATGTGTGCAGTTGCAAATTCTTTTGATTTTATACAATAATTTTTTAGTAACATTAAAAGTGCATATAAAAAAAAAAGACAATAAAAAAGAGAAATCACTTGCAATTTAAAGTTAGTAAAAAAAAAATTTAACAAGCATCAGGTTATTTGCATTCAATGGTGGTTAATAATTTTCTGTTTCTTTTCGTTTTTTTTTTTTGTATAAAAAAAAATAATGGTAGGCAAAAAGTAAAATATGAGAACTTTCTTTTCTTTTTCAATGTTCCGTGAAAATTTCAATTTGAATTTTGATGGTATTTTTCGTTTTGGCTTTTTTTTTTTTTTGGTGTTTTGGTTATGGAATTTGATATTATCAAAATATTATAATCGGTGGTTTTTTTGCTTAAGTAAATTATTATCAAGACAGCGGAGAAGATGGAGGGTAGAGGAATCATATTAGTAAAAATAAGAAGAAAATTATTTAAAAACAAACCAAAGTATTTTTACAGAGTGAGATGAAAACGAGAGAAAGATGTGATTATTTAATTTATCAAAGAAGAATTCCAAAAAAATTGCATAAAATTAGGCGTAACACACATTTTTTCCTTTGCAACACATCAGATTATGCGCCACATAGTAATATCAAGTATATTAGACAAAATATTTGTTTTGTGTTAAAACCCCACTGTTGATACATGAATTTTAAGTAAATATTAGAAAAAGTCGGGTTAGTAATCTAATACTCTCTTCATTTCAATTCTTACAAGCCTAGAGTTCTCTGAATCGATTAAAATTTCTCTCCGAATTAAATGGCAGAGAAATTTTAATGTAGAGAAATTTAATTAATACTGATTATTGACTATTATTAATTGCATAGATATAGGGAATTCTAATATAGAGAATAATCTGATTTTGTGATAAATTAATTTAAAAAACTCTTACGTTATTGCCATATAATTATACAAAACTTTAAAAAATTCGATGAAAATTACTGCTAAAACATACAATTTCATGAAAATTTTCAATAATCAGATTAAAATTTAATCTATTGTAAAATTTTTTAAAAAAATTTTCAGTAACCATTTCATTAAAAATGCTCAAGAATAAATTTATTGTTCATACAATATTAAAAAAAATAAAATATAAATGCAAATGCTACAATGAAAATGAATTCCAATAGACTCTTGAATTCACCACAAAAAAAAATTTGTAAGCATACACAAAATATTATCACAACATTACCTCAATATTTATACTATGGTGGTCTTAATATTGATATTTAAATTTTATAAATCTTGAGGACTATATCGTGAAGTCAGAAACAAGAACTATTGAAAACGAAAAAAAAAGTAAGTACTCGTAAAATGCATAAATAGCATAAAAAATTGATTAAAATCATGAAAAAATAAATACACTTATAGCTCCCGTTCACAAATTCTTATAATATCGAGAAATTTTTATAATATTGCCTATAAGTAAAAAACCATTAAATTCTGATAATGTATTTAAAAATTTCATGTAAAAGGCTAAGAAATTTCAATGGAATTTAAACAGTTTTAATAACAAAGTAGAATTTTTAAGAAAAAAATCAATATATTTTGGGGTGTTTTTACTCTTTTATTATTAAAAACAAACAAAAGAAGTTTTAAAATCTAAATTATACAATAGAATTCCATTTAAGACCCCAATATTTTCCCCATATATTTTGTAATTATATAGATTTTTAATATAAGTACCTTTAGGATATTTTTTCCCGTTCATCACTGTGTGAGACTCAACCATGTACCAATACTAAACATTAATTTTTTTTACTAGTTCTACATTACATAAAAATTCGATGCTCTTATATATAAATACGATCTTGATAATTTGTTGATGATCCTGTTTTTGGGGAAGGAATTGCATTTTTTGATTGAATCATGTATAATTTTTTTTTTCTCTTGTTTCTTTTTCAAAATTTAATGATGATTTTGAGAAAATCAACGTTGTTGTAATGAAATTTCGTGAACTAATTTTTTTCTTTTTCTTCTTATTATTTTATGATTTATGTTTTTTTAAATTTTTATTTACTTTTTTAATAAACTGAAATACCAACAACAAAAAGTCACGGTATATAATCAGAATAATGTACACGTACAATGAAAAAAAAAATATTTAAAAATAAGTAAGAAAACAAATAATAATCAAAGTTAACACAATTAAAAATATTAAAATAAAAAAAAAAAAATCTGATGTGATCAGCACATAACCGACCGCATTGTGTATTGTCTAGTTAAATGAAAGTGTTACAGAATATTATAAAAATGTCTGTTAAATACTTATTTCCAACTTTTAGGACATTAGTAAGCTTATAGTTAACATACTTAGAAAAATGTAAATTTGGCTCTTAGTAGAGTTTCGCTTTGTGCTATCCGAATTCCCTGAAATGCTCGCCAGTTAGTTTCGGTAACAACCAGAACTCAAATATCAAATTTCAAGAAATTTCATCAATTTGTTCTGTGGATATGGTGAAAAATGTAAAATCGGCCCGCAAATCCGTTTTCGAGCCCTGATCTTTCCAAAAAATTTATATGTTCATTGTTTTAATACGAGGAGTTCATATATTAAATTTCAATGAAATCGGTTGATTATTTCTCTTTATATACACAAAAATTTATATTTGGCCCGTAGTAAACGTCTAGTTGCCGATGCCTGATTTCTTCCAAAACATACGAATTTTTGCGGACGGTCGAGCTGAGCTTATATATAAAATTTCAAGTAAATCGGTTGAATATTTTCTTCAAAATGTTCAAAAATGTAAAACAGGCCCGCTAAAAAGACCGACAGACCGACAGGTTGCTAAAAATAGTTTATTTACACTTCCCTACTATGGAGAAGTACGTTCCCACCGAAAACTCGATATGCAAAATTTGTTGCCATCACATAACCTACCTATTGTTTACACAATACGGTCGGTAAAAAAGTAAGAAAAATCACAGTTAATTGGATGTAAAATTATTATTACTGGAATTTTTCTTGTTTATTTTTACTTAGATACCAGCTCATCATAACTACTTACTATATGCAGTATACGGGTATAATATGGTAGAGAGATAATTTAGCTTGTAAAAAATTTAATGGATGCATGATGATAATTTGTTAAAAGATTTATGATGTGTAATTTAAAAATGAAATTTTTTTGTAATAATTATTGTTATACATTTATATATATGTATATATAGTAAGCAGATATACTTGCAGATTATTATTAAAAAAATTTTTCTCCATTATACACGGACAAGTTGAGTACACAGAATAGAGACAGAAGATTATGGGTATAAATATTGCCAATATTTTCCAAGAAATGCAAGAATGTATTGAACATTATTCTTTATGAGAATTAAAATTTTTCATTTTGAGAATCAAAATATTTTGAGAATGAGCGCAATTCATAGAATATTTTGTGATTTCCATCCTCGCCCACATTAACATTTCATTTGGGCCCTTGCAAAATTGTAATATGCGGCCAATTTAAGCTGTGAGACTTTCGTCGGTCTCACAAAAGCTCTCTCAAAACTTCTCAGTCGCAGAGGAGCCATCGCCTCTTAAGGGACACATACATTTTCTTTGGAGTGAAAAAGGCTCGGACAATTGTTTAAATGGTTTTTGAATACATACAGCTTTATAAGTACAGTGTGAATAAACAAGGCCCAGTTCCGGCTTGTTGAGCGCCGTACGCGGTCTCCAAAAAATATTCCTTCCCGCTTTTAAATCAATGAACAGTATACTATAAAAACTGCACGTTGCGCATAATAAATACGCATTAGTTCTCCTACACTCATTGCATATGCTTACTTTTGCATATATGGAAGATCCGGTGCTGGACACAACCAAATACTTAAATTTGAAAAATTTAATAGAACCAATTCAATTTTAGACATTCATTCAACGGATTGACAATTATTTGTTTGTATTTTTTTTTTTATTATAAATTTTTTTTGTGGAATTTATTCCCCATTTTTGCTTTTTGCTCTAAAGTGCTTTTATATTCTAAAACATTATTACACTTGATGTCGTTTATTTTAACAGCAACAATTTAAAATTCGTAGTTTTCTATATTACAATCGATTGTTAAGATAATAACAATGTCTCCAATTATTATTAAAATTATTGCATATGACCAAATTAATATTAAATTTTAATTCCAATTTCTCAACTAAGCAATAAACACTAAGTTGGTTTAGCAAATTATGGAGAAAACCTTTATTGTTCACATTACCCAATTAACTATTGGTCAAATCATCATAGTATATGAAAGCAATTATATGAAAATATTTAATGCTGCTCACATTTTCAAATTAAATTATTAGGGCGTCAATAAAAATCATAACTTTATTGTACAGTAATGAACACACTCTTCGAATATTTATTAAATTACTATATAACAATATCTCACGATCTTGCCAATTACATAATCCAAAGCAGAAATATAACAGAATAATTTTTATATTACAAACTTTTCACATAAATATTAAAACTGATAACAAAAAATTATTCCAATAAACGTGTTTAACTTTAATAAATCAATTCTTCTGTAGAAAAAGAAATAAATTTATTACCTCATTGTCCTTAATGTCTTTAATGTCCTTAAATTTAATATTATAATACATGTGTGTGTTTGTGTATAGGTTCTATTCAAATAAATCAACCTCTTTAATTTTTGAAAGAATATAAAAAATGTCATTTCCAAGAAATAAAGTATTGACACAAGCCATAATATCCTCTTTTTAAGAACTTTGGGCCCAATCACATCTACTATGTTAGAAACTATAAAAATATTTTATGTAAATAAATTTCTATTCAATCAAAAATAATGATATTTGCAAAGTAGTATAACAATATAAAAGAAAACGGAAGTAATTTTTATTCTATATTCTATACATAAAGAAATTTCTTTTTATACGAACTCAATTTTTTTTTGTTCTCATAAGGATATCAAAAAAAATAAAGGATCATTACAAAAGAAAATAAACAGTAAAATATTTTATTCGTTCTCGTTTCTTCTTTTCATTGCTTTTCTTGTTTTTTCTAAGAATAATAAATGTGATTCTTATAACTTTAAATTCGATCATTTTGATATTTATCAAAAAACAAAAAAAAAGTATTTTCAACTACCTACACATAGTAGTAGTAAAATATCCTTAATATCCTGGGCGCGAAATACTCCATTTTTTATTATTCCTTTGAAAAATCACAATAATCACAATAAAGAATTGTTGATATCAATAAGGATTTTCCTACATTTTTTTTTTGTTTGATCATTGTGAATTTGGAATATATGTAGAATAAAGGGATAATAAAAATTTTATTATTTAAAATCTTATAGAATATTTTAGGAAAAAGGATTCAGAATAAAAATTTTACAATTTCGAATACACGTATGAATATTTGAAATTTATTTAAAATTTCTGTATTTTTTTCGATTTTAAAATTTTATTTTCCGAAAAAATCTTGTTAGTCGTTAATTTACTTTAGTCATTTTTTCACTCTGCCCAACAAATCGTCCATATTTCCGTTTACAAATCTTCCATGAACTTTATAATAAAAAGCTTAATTTTTTTATTGACAAATTTTATTTAAGTAAAATTCTTCTCTAATACAAGATTTTCATTATAAATTACATGGAGTACATGCTATGGAGAATATGGAGTACGTCACTGTTGTAGCAAGTGAGCGATATAGTGCTGTCTAATTCGAAGAACAAACATTAAATTTTTATTTTGAATTGAAGAATGTAATATTATTGGAAATTAATCATACAGAACCGTAAGATCATGTTTGCTTTCGTTTACATTAAATTTTTACATGGGAGCAATTGATAAGTGTAAAGTATAATTTTGCCTCAATAAGTAAAAATGCGGGATATTTTTCGATTGTTCCTTTCTAAGTTTTCCAGTACTGATTAAAAATATTTAATAAATTTGGTTAATATTTTTCAGAATCGTCCTTATAATAACAAACCCTTATGGCGGCAAAATTAAAAATTAATATTAACCAATTAATTCAAGATTTCTAACCACATTTCTTTTGCATATTTCTTGGCAAATTTTTTAATTATACACCTTGTAGGAGCCCACATTTATTCATTTTCGATTCGTTAATACTTAGAGTATTTTTGTACAACTAAAAAATTTACACATTTTGTGAAAATAAAAACTAGAATATTCTCAAATAGGAAGCTCATTTTTCCAATTTTCTCAACAACGAATCCCTACATCTAAATAAAAATTTCCTATCAAGGATTCGTTTCTTATTGATCCTATACAAAATCATAAAAACCTACTCGTTTTTGTCTACATCCTTTTAAGTATATAAAATAAAAAGAAAAATAAATATTTAGAACTTAAATTTTCGTTATATTTATAGTCTTCCCTTACTTATTTTCCAATATGGTAGGATTTAAAAAATTTCAAAAACTACATTTTTATTCTTTTTACAACTTTCACATTTAAACTATATTCCAAGAATTTTCTTTTCTTTAAACAATATTATAATATAAGTATGTATTATGCGCTTCCGGCAATTTATTGACAATATAAATGACATAATAATAAAATCAACTTTGGATCTTAAGAATTCTACGAGTGTATGTATATGTAAAATTCACATACCAACTTTGTTAATACGACAAAAGTATTCGAATGGCCTCATTTAAAAAAAAAAAAACAAACGAGATCAAAGCCAAATACTAAAGAAAAAAAAAATAAGAATTCAAAAGAAATCAAAGTACAAATCATCCATAAAATTTCCCGGAAATATATCAAATTGCCACATCAAGGAAGCACTAAAGTAACCGGATATGATTACAGTTTGTCCGATACAAAAACAAAATTTCTCAATACAATTTCAAATAACTCTATTAAAAATTGAAAAATTAAATAGAAACCAAAAAAATGGTTATTGTGGAAATTTTTGGTATAGACAAGACATAAGGATTTTTCTTATAATAAAGAGACAAGGATAATAAATGCCATATAAAGTAATAAGGAAGAAGAGACTGGAAAAGATTTTATAAGAAAGTTTTTGAATTTAAGTTTTTCACTAATAAAAACAGTGAAATTTTAAAATGAAAAAAGTTTTCTTTTCCTTTTGTTTTCTTATGTTCACATATGATTTGCTGCCTGAAAGACGATAAAAAAAAATGATCACATTTGATTTTTCTTTAGAAAAACTTTTATTTGAAAAATTTCAATTCACATACACATGAATAATGTTTTCGAAATTTCCGATAACAATAAACTAAGATAAATTTTTTAGCAGGAATACCGAAGTACTTCAAGGACAAAATTCAGTTAATCATTTTTAATGACGACATGAAAAACACCGACCGAACGAAAAATTGAGTATTAAAATATGAACACGTTATATAAACAGAACAGATTATTGGAAGAACATAAAACAACATGGACATCTTTAACTTATGATCATCACTCTATGAACAATAAATTTGTTTGATTAATAAGCAACTAAAGTAACACAATATTTGGACATCGGAAACCAATAGTAAATACTAGCTTAAGAAATTGTTAAATTCGGTTAAGGATAAATTGAAAACAAACGAAGGGACCTGTTACAACAAAACTTAAGGAAAATTTAAGTGAGATAAAACGTGCAAGGAGAGTAGGAATTAACAGGAATTTCGATTCAATGGCTGCAAAACACATTTATTGAAACGGATCACATAATTACGGAAAATAACTTGAACGTATTAAAAGAGGTGAAAGGAAAATATAGGAAAGAAGAAAAACAAAGACTGTATACTGAACACGGACGAAGGTAACGCGGCTAATGTCTGTTTAAATTAATTATTTGACCAGTTTTAAGGAATAAATCAAGTAAAAAATTAGATTAAGTCAATTTAATTGTTTGTTGTCTTAATTAGAAAAAAATCAGATTTAATAAAGTGCGTTAGTAGCGCACAAAATACATTAACAAAAAAATATGATGTGGTCAGCACATAACCGACCGCAATGTGTATTGTCTAGTTAAGTGAAAGTGTTACAGAATATTATAAAAATGTCTGTTATATACTTCTTTCCAATTTTTAGGACATTAGTAAGCTTATAGTTAACATACCTAGAAAAATGTAAATTTGGGTCTTAGTAGAGTTTCGCTTTGTGCTACCCGAATTCCCTGAAATGCCCACCAGTTATTTTCGTTAACAACCAGAACTCAAATATGAAATTTCAAGAAATTTCATCAATCCGTTCCGTAGATATGGTGAAAAATGTAAAATCGGCCCGCAAATTAGTTTTCGAGCCCTGATCTTTCCAAAAAACTTATATGCTCATTGTTTTAATACAAAGAATTTACGTATTAAATTTCAATGAAATCGGTTGATTATTTTCTACAAAATGGTCAAAAATGTAAAACAGGCCAGCTAAAAAGTGCAGTTCCCCAAGCCTGATATATCCCAAAAGTTGATCAATCCGTGCCATAGTAGAAATAAACTTACATATAAAATATCATCAAAATCGGTTCAGCCGAAATTGAGATGCACGCGTAAACACACAGACAGACCGACAGGTTGCTATTATAAACTATTTTTGTTCCGAATAGGAGTTTTCTTTTCATACACCAGAAAAAAAAGTATTTCGGAAAGATTATCAACATTTTATATTAAAAGATTGTTTGAAAAGACATTTTATTAAATGAATTATGCACATTTAGAGAGAAAGCTGGAAATTTAAGACTCTATAACAGAAATATGCGTATTTTTGAGAAATGGTTCATGGATTTCAAGGAAGAATTTGAATTCAATTAAATTAATTATAAAACTTAAATATTATGAACAGCACTGATTCGCAAGGAGCAAAAAAAATTTTTGAACGTGACTCATTCTCACAGTTTATTAGTAAATTTATCTCAAAATTTTTAATGCAAGCACATAAATACAATTTAGTCAACAACAGTGTTACTAAGAATTTAATTTAATAATTTAAAATCCATTGGATTTAGTTAAATAGGTGCCTTGCCTCAGAGCTGAAGATGACTCAGATATTATACTACCTAAGTTATAATTTTATATTAAATATTTGAAATTATTCGTAGAACAACGAATAATAATTTATTCATTTGAGTAATTTAAAATTATTTTAAACAGTGAATGACAAAAATTACCCACTTAATTTAAAAAATTTTCAATTATTTAATTCTATATAACATAAAGAATGAATAATATTAATCAGACAAGAAAAAAATTTAATAAGTTCCGAAACAATTTAAAAAAAAAAAAACTTTTCAATTAACCCCAAAAAAAAATTTTTTTATTTTAAATTCTCTGGTTTCTTTTTCATCTCATTTTCATTAATTTTTTATTTAAAGTCGTAAAACTTTTGATGGTTGGACTGAATTTAAAAATTTTATGATTTCAGCTCTTTTTTTTTTTTTAATTTCAAATTGATTCCTAACTCAAAAGAGTGTCAGAGAACCCGAAAACAAAAAAAAAAATTAAAAACTTCTTAACTTTTTAATTCTCTTTAAGTCACCACCACCACGAACCACCACCAATGAATGGAATCTAAAAATGAACTTTGAATTCTTTTTCACTTGTCTGCAGTATTGTGAATTTTTGACAGTTTTATTGGAAAATCATTTTCGAAACTTGAAAATTAATTTTGAATAACTTGAAATAAAAAAAAAAAAAAATAACAAAATGGGCAAGAAAAAAAAACAAATTAATGAACCATCAGGCAAATTGTTTTAAAATTATGGTTTGCTGATCCTTAAAATAAAAAGCAAAATTAATAAAAATTGAAAAAAATTGAAACAAAAAAAAATCAAAACGCCAGTCGAATAACAACGAACGACAGTAGATCAAAAAATTATGAAAGAACAAAACAAAAAAAGAGAAAAAAGAGTGCATAATGCTCAGCAGTGAGCCACGGCGGCTTCAGTTTGTTTTTCTCATTTTTATTTTATTCTTATTTTTCTCTTTTAATTTTTTTTTTAATAAATTTTAATGTTAAAGCCAAAATAACCAGCCAGCCAGTACTAAACATCCTGCTGTGATCCGTAAATTGGATATTCACTAGAAAATTGTTGTTGTTTTATTGTTTTTCGCGAATATTTCTTCTTCTTTTCCTGTTCTGTTTATTTATTTTCGCTGTTGTTGTTTTTTAGTTTTCATTATAGTGTTTGTTTTATGAAGATCGCGTTATTTTTCTCTTGTTTTTTCTGTTTGTATTTTCTGTTTTTTTCCATGGGTAACCCTTCAAATGCAAAATACAATTGGTGCATTTTTTTTTTGTTAGCGCGTTATTTAAAAAATAAAACAAAAATTGAATTTCATTCAAATAAAAAAAAAAAAACAAAATAAAAAACTCATACATAATTATTTTAATATGTGTGTTTGGTAAAATGAGGCTGATCAAGGTATAGATCACCTGCCGAGAGGATATGAGAATCCAATTTTTTTTTTTAAATAACTTATAATCGAAATGGAATAAGAAATTAATACGGAGGAGAGTTTAAAAATCTTCAGTATCAGTTTTTAACATTTTTTTGAGTGACGCCAAAAATATTTTAAAAAATATTTTTTTAATGGAAGTCGATTTTTCGCCTCTGGTTTTCTTAAAACTTTTCAGAAAATTACTGTAAGAAGAAAATTATATTTAAGTGTTAGACAACATAAATTTAATTATGAATTTTATTTAAAACAAGCTTAGCAACATTTCAGCGAAAATCATGCAAAATTTCTTTCAAAAACTCTGCAATTCTACTCTGCATTCATACAGAAATCAATTTTCGCTCAGTTTTAGCAATAGTTTTATACAAACTAAACAAAATGGTGATGTTATTGTTAATAATTTCAAATTAACATGTTTTATTTTATAGCGTCGAACAAATATTCATATGCAATTATTTTATAATTTTGCTGCTGGAATACTCTCTGTTACAATTAATTAATATGCATTAATTGAGCGACATTTTACAAAAATTTGTAAAAATTGTTGCGTTTTAAAGAATATTTACTTTTTTTTTTCAATCAGCTGTTTGCATTTAAAATTTATAAAAACTTAGATTAAAGTTTTCGTTCAATTGGAGAAATAGGGTAATTTTTGTAGATTGTAGATTGCAAAATGGGATGATGATGACCGAGACCTAAAAGATCTATTGTGCTCCCCACCACGAGCTCCCAGTGTCCTACCTAGAGCACTCCCTCGAGACCCACACTTTTGATGAATCTGAGCAATTTTTCTATGAATATCTCACAGCGGCTGGTGAAATATTTATTTTCCTTCAAATATTTTATAATCCTTCACATTTATTTCATATATTTTACGAAATATTTTAATTTTTACTTAATTGTGGAAATACTCTTAGCACAAAATTCAAAAATTTTGCTCATGTTTTTGCTGCTCATACTTTATTAACATTTTTTTAAAATAATTTTAAATTAATTTTTTACCAGTGTAAATATCAAATATAATTCAAATGTAAAATATGTGAATCGGGATATACTCTCAACTCTCGTATACTCACTAATAATAATAAAAATTCTTTTAATTTTTTATTTTTATTTTGTAATGAATTCTTTCTCATTTATTATGAAATGAAGAAAACAAGCTGTAATGTTCGCTCTTGTAATATTTAATTGTGTACTCAATTCACAAACGAGTGCAATGAATTATCCTTGAATTGGTGTAATGCACATGCATTTTTTTTATTAATATTTTTCTAAAATGGTATGTCTAGAATGCGAAATGTTGTAATCAATTATAATCGGAGAAATTTTTTATATACGCTTTTTTTTTTTTCTATTTTTAATAAAACAAATACACAGTGACGCTCATCTTCTCTATAGCAAACAAAGAAAAAAACTAAAAGCATTGCATTGAAAAGGAAGTTTTGAAGTATTTCAAACCAAAAAGCAAAAATATAAACAAAAATTTGTTGTGTAGGAAGAAAATGTGATCTTAAACAGCGTATATTATCACTTTAAATATTGAAATTTAATTTTAAATTTTTGTATAACCAATAACTCTTTCAGAATTTAACAAGAATAGGGGATTTTCTCCCGCTGATATTAAAAACAAAGTTATATAGGTACTTGGAATACCGCAGTGTTATAATAAATGACGAAATTTTTATTTGTTTTTTGTGAGTTTTTAAAAAAATTTACAAGAATTATAAAAAGAGCACAGAGCATAGGCTGAGAAAGAATAATGTGTAAGTACTATGGGGTTTCTCAATAAGCCAAATAAATACAATAAAGTAATAAATTAAAAAATAATGTTGTATAAGAGTGTCAAAAATTTGACATCTTTTATTTGAATATTATGAATTAAGCTTTTAATATCAATTTTGTATAATTTTTTTTAAAATGTATGCCATGTAATAAACAAAACGCATCAAATTGTACTTAAATTTAGTTCTTCAAGCAACTTGTACAACGAACGTTTTACAAATGACATTCCGATTACATGAGACGTATATATTGTATCGAACGATTT